TTTTTTTTTTTTTTTTTTTTTTCTGCAGTATTTTTTTTTTTTTTTTTTTTTTGAAACAACTTTTTTTTTTTTTTTTTTTTTTGTGATTAGGGTGGTGCACAGCTGAAGCATTACCAGTGGAGTTGCTTGCTCACTGATTTGTTGCCAGGTAGCCAGCCAATTAGCAGTGCTGGTTATTATTTACTTTTCATGCTATATATCACTAAAATTGTGCTGTTGATTTATCATTTATATTGTTGTATTGTCAGCATAATTTATTCAGATCATGCTGAGATACCTGGGAAATTAAGTAATAAAGAGAATGGCATAGAATGTGTCTGTATTCAGAGGTATTTACTTTGCTTTTAATGAGAATGCATGTTCAGGTAAAACATAGATCATTTAGCTATTAAATTGTTTTTTAAATAAACCTGTTAAAAGTTTGTTTTCTATAAATAAAAAGGCTTGGCTTCAATTCTAATCTGTTTTTTACCATTAAATAAGAAATTTTTACAGATTATGTTGAATAGCAGACCAAGTAATTGTGCCAACTTAGTTGATTCATGATTTGCAGGAAGCTGTACTAGTTGAGGTATTACTGAGGTATCCATTGTTCTTTGATATTGCTTCAATTTTTTTTTGCAAATACAAACATAGATTTTTTTAATTGAAAATCCTTCCTAATTGCTTGAATTATTTAAAAAAAAAAAGAAAATTGAAAGCCAGTATTTTACACGAAATTATTATTTTGTATTCATTCAGCTGATTAGAAAAGGTTGCTGTACAATGAAGGTCACTTTAGAATGCTTTGACTTTTGAATGCTTTTTTTTTTCCTTAGCTGGGACAAGAACTTGTCAGAGGTATATGTACAGCTTCATATTTTCTCTTCCTGTTTATTTCTTTTAAAATCTTTTGACTGACAAATGGATCTGTGTGTGTGTGCAGGTGGTTGGATCTAGCCAAGAATGGTTCTCTCCTGAGTGCTCCACACAGGAAGAAGGGCCTGGTGCTTCCAGTGGGTGGATGGACTTTTCCATGATGACAATGGCATTTCTTTCTAAACTCGTGAAGATTAAGTTCCAAATGAGGCAATAATTCAAAGCAAAGTGGAAGAGGATATTATTTTCCTGAAGGTATTAGAACCCCCTTAACTTTTTCAATTGCCTTTGCCTTTAGTTTCTGTTTTCACTGGTAGCTCTAACACACCGGTAGAACCACACAAAACCCACTCTAGTCAGTCGTGATAGGAATATTTTGAACAGCTCTATTGCCTCCAGAACTTGAAATTTTTGCCAGTCTTGTGTCACGATTTTGAGTTTTCACAACACTTCTCGTTTGCAGTGACTCTCTTGGTTATGGTCAGACCTGAGAACCCAAAAGCCCAAGGAGCAAACGTAAGTAATCCCTGAGCAACCATTTAATTTTCTGTTTACTAACTTTTAATTGATTGTCTTTGCATGTGTGTGGTATAAAGGAATTTTTAGGTGTCTTCAGGAATCAAGGGGGAGAAGTTTCTGTCAAAGGACAGAATCCTGAAAATGGTGGTTTTTTTGTTAAAGTATCTCTGATAATCCCCTATATGATTATATGTATATTGATACAAGGTTGAGGTCAGGTTGCATGATGGTATGAATGAAAAATGTCAAGGAAAAAATGACTACTGAGCTGGAAACCTTGCAGTAACAAGGCTCAGAACAATTTGGATCATCCTTTGTGTTTACAGTTAAGAAGTGTGAAGGGAAATTTAAATGATACCCGTCTTTCATTGCTTGCAGTAGGAGACACTTATTCTTTTGCAATCTTGTATAGCAGAAGCACAGCACTTGCTGTAGGTAAAAGTGTTTTCAGAGGCTGAAATAATGGAAATACTATGGTTTGTGTGTTAAATTTTCTTAAATGGTAGAAGGTATGTGCATTCAGCTGGATTACCTAGAGGCTGAATAACTTTGTAAATTAAGACCCAGTAGACCTCTAGTGAAATGTTTATTGTATTTCTAAAAAAGGATACCTCATTTACTTATTTTGACAACCAAAGGTTAGTTTCAGTTGGAAGTTATTAATGAAATATGAGAGCACTTAAGTCATATTTTATGAAAATATTGAAATCTGAACTTGAGACAGGCAGCATTGCATGATAAAACTTTTGGAGCCTATTTGTCTGTGTGCAGAAGATGGAAAAACTTTATTTTTGCCATGAGATGTGTGAGTCAGCTGGGAGTAAGTGCCACTCCACTCTGCAGGTTTACTGGGTGTCTGCTATGAGGATTTCAGGAGGACAGCAGGTTTTCTGCTTTCCACATTTCTTCTGAAACCTCTGCATGTCATTACACAGCTGAAACAGAATACAGGATGGGCTGTAGGAAGATGTAGCATTATTCCATCTGTAAGAGAAAAAAAGTCACTTAACTTGCTCTTAGCTGTGTTATTTGAGATTCACAGGATCTCTCTTCACTTGAATGATAAATGTCGAATTCCCACAGAACCCACCCCTTATTCTCTTTAAATATAATGGCAAACATTTGTCCGTGGCAATTAGTGGTTTTTGTACTTTAATTTTATATTGGTGAAATTCAAGTGCTTTATTTTAATTTTATTTACTACAAAAGTCAATTGCTTAATCAAAAGCTGATTCCTTTAAGCAGAAAATTTGCTTCCCCAAATTCCAGACATTTTAGTGTTTATTCTTTTGAACTTGGATAATGCATGTTCTACATCTTAAACTTCCATAGTCTGTCTCAGGATTTCATTAACATTAGTTGGAATATTAGCATGTTTCTGAATTTGTGTGCTCCTCTGTGTTGCTTCTATTGCCAAGCAATATTGCATTGCTCCCAGTTTTCTCAGCTGCCATGGAGAGTCCGAATGCTCCTTGGAGTATCCCTAGCACTGATGGACAAATTTCAGTAACTCTGGATGGACCCTATCTGACAATCTGACATTCAGCTAAGATGGTCCTGTGTCTTTAAAAAGGGCTTTAAACCCTTTTGAATTATGAAATCAAATTAACAGTTGACAGAATGTATAATGTTGAACTTTTGCCAGTTTCATCTTCACTTTCCTCTCCAGGAAAAGCCAGTTCTGTACAGAGCAGATCTTTTGCAGTCATACACTCTGGCTTATCAATGAGTTGATTTATATTAAATCTGGGTTGTTTGCCCAAATTTTCTGTACTGTGTCAAGAGATAGGATAAAAGCAAAGAAAATACTGAGAAATATCCAGTTGCTTTTTAATTCCTTTATTTCCTTTTAATAGTATTTTCTTTGCATAGTTCTTGACACATGAGTTTTACTGACTTTATTCTCCTGATCATGTTGCTTTAAGCCTACAGATTCTGGTGAGAAATACTCATTTGGAATGCAAGAGTCCAACTAGAAGTTTATTTTGTACTGAAATAAGAACTACTAAGGAGGTCATCAGAGCAACTGCATGAAGGAGAACTGTCCTTTTATAAGCAGATTTGAGAAAGAGAGGTGTCAGGTAGGATTCATGAGAGAGATGAATAGAGGAGAGGAAATTTAAAAGGAAAGTTTGCAGATTACAGAAGAAAGCAGATAGGATGATAAGAAAGATGAATTTCTTTGGGTGGAGATCATGGTTTTCCCATGATTTATAGAGTTTTTCAGAATTCAAAGTAAAGCTGTGCTGACTCGTGGCTGTCAATATTGAGATGTCTCTTGAATCCAAACCAGGAAGGCTTATGAGGCTCTGGTACAAAGTAGAACTTTAGCATGCCCCATCCCCATCTACCCTCCCTTCCCATTCTGAATATGCCTGGAGAATTCAAAAGGTTTCAAGTTAAATCATTATTTTACAACCGATCACATAATGAAATCAAAGCTGAAGGAGAGTTTATCCTGTCCCTGACTTCTTTTCCTTTACCAGGATGATTCAAGCCTGGATTTCTTAGACAAGACAGAACAGTAGTTCATGCCTCTTCCCTTTATGCTCCCAGCACTGCTGGCTCATACTTTCCTGTGCAAAATCCTTCCCTTGGATGTACATCCAGGACACTGTGTGCTGTACTAAAGCAGATCTGTTTTGCTGAGGCTGAAGTCTTAGGTCAAGAAGCCTTTGGGAGAGAAGAAATTTCATATTTCACTCTATAGTTTCTTAGGGAAAAAAAATTGGCATTAAATATTGCTCTCTAGCTGATTTTATTGCTTCCATTGCCTTCTACTCTTTCCTATTCTTTCTTTGACAAGTGTGAAACAAGTCAGACAGAGTTTTAGGAGCAGCTCAGGCATGTCTGGCTCAGTTGCCAAATTCTAATGTACATAGCCACTCAGTAACCAAAGCTGCTGTTGATAGGCAGTAGTCTGAGCTCTTCCCTCAGAAAGCCATGGAGCCCTAATGTCAAATCATTACTGCATCTGTGGAGATCAGGGTGGGGGTGTCCCAGTGTTTGCAGGGTGGGTCTTAATGGTTCTCTGAGGGTAAATGTCAGAATAAGGTGAAATGTCTGCTTAAAGTTGCCACTCTGAACCAGATGTTTAATCACTTAATACCTTAGCCATTTATATTTGCAGTACTCTGGAAATACTGAAAAGCATAGAACAATAAATGGAGGGTTAAATTAGGAAACAGTGTATTATTTTGTGTCCTAGGTAGATTTATCTCTATCATTTTGTTCTCTTTCCAAGAGGAAGTGGAAACTGGGCAAAGAAAGATTAATGGTCACCAGGCAGGGAAGCAGTGATTGGAGTGATGTTGCATGTGTTATGTTGGTCCCAGTTATTTCATTCAATAGCAGGCTTTAGTTATATACCTGCATTTGGAGAAATTTTCAATTTGTCATTTTTTGTCATTTGTGACAAGGTGAAAGTTGCTCATTTAGATAAACCCAAATCATCTTTATCTGGATAATTCTGCTTCCTGTTTAATTTCCAAAGACAAATCAGAGGTTGTCTTTGAGGATGCTGTGAGTCGTACCTGGTGATTTTACATTATTTTGTACTTGGTTGTTTTTTACCATAGGTGAAGAGAAAGCCAGGGTAGGGATGTGTGGATCTTGGCTTCATTAACTTGCCTTACCTGGGAACTCTGATTATTATGATTTTGATTTTAATTGTGAGTATTTGCTGCACAGTCCAGTTGCTTCACAGTTCACTGTTAGTCCTTCTGCCCTCTTCTCACAGAAGATGTTAAGGGATGAAAAATGGGATTTTGTCACCATTCATTAAAATCCTTATCCTATCCTTCAGCTTCTTTAAAATCATGCTTTCCCTTAAGTCTCCTGGTTGTAAGAAAATCACTACTAAAGCAGTGCCTGCACTAGATTATTTTATTAGTGCTACTAGATGCTGCTACTCCTTAGCTTAGCAGCCTCCTCCTTCACTGGGGATGGTCAAACTATTTCCTTCCAAAACGTGGTGAACATATATCTGCTCTGTGCTTGGAGATATAAACTGGTTTCCTTGAATAACTGAGAGCTGTATGTTTGATAAGTAAATGTTGACCCACCTCCTTCTTAATTGTTGATTTGTCTTCTGGCTTTGTCAGCTCTGGAAGCCTTGTGTTCAGGATCAGAGTTAAATTAAAAAAACTTGACATATGAATAATATTTCTGCTTAAAATTAAATACTTTACCTCACATGGCTGCTAACCAGCTTCAGAAAGTAACAAACACAATGCTACCCATTGGTTTCAAAAATCACATGCTAATCTGGATATTTGGTCCCACTGGGTGAAGATCAAATGAACAATATTATCCTTCTGCACTCTGCCACACGTGCCCTGTGCACACAATCCAGAGGGAAGGTGTAAATAGACAGTGTTTAGGATCTGTGAATTGTTAGCTTATTCTGCCAAGCAGGCTGATGTGCTCAGGGTATAAACAGATCAGTCTCCACTTGGTCTTCTGCACCTCGTGCTATTTGACATCACCATAAATTCATATTGTATTTTTATGGAAGCTGTAGAAAAGAAATGGCACAGCTTTGGCAGCCTTGGCACAATTTTATTTTGTATTGACTGTAATCTATTTTTTTCTTACACTGCTGTAGTTCTGGGACTCCTTTTATCATTTTGGTATTTAAGCCACTCTTGCACAATATGCTTTTTTTGTTGTTGTTGTTAAAGCATCAGTGGTCTTTTTATTTACCTGTGAAGGAGAAAATGACTGTGTTACCACATGTGTTTGATTCTGCTACAGGGTCTCTGTCAAATTTTGTCACTGCAGAATTTGGGAAAAGCCCTCATAATAAAAGTAATCTTTAAATTCTGTGGGTTTTCCTAACAAGTACTTGTGCTATAAAACCTGTTACAGAAAGAGTTTAGTTTTTGTAGTTTTCTGTATTAATGTATCCTTCAGGAAAAGAGTATCTCCACATCTCTTAATGGTGTGATAGCTTTCAAATATGTTGTTGTCTGAACCCTTGATTAAACCAAATGGTG